GCGCAGCTGTGAGCAGCCACAAAGCTGGGTCTTACCGTAGCACATTCAACCCTTCCACATATCAGTATAGCGCTGGGACATTTTTGCGGCGAAAATAAAAAATGAATAGCACTCTTGCAACAGAACTCTTGCAGAGCAACCTAATAAAAAACAGTACTAACGCTGTGAAAACAAACTGCGGAGCAAAGAGCGCAACGGCGAAATTGCTTGATGCGGAAGGGATGAACACACTATGGTACTGGAAACGAATTACACGTCAAAGCAAGTGCCCACTTAGCAGTCATCCAAAATGCCGCCAATGGTTGATCTCCAGGCACGATGACAGCTACGCATACGCTTCCTCGGTGGCGCCTGCGCCACCGATTGCCGCACACTACCAATACTCTGCCTCGCGCTGCGCTAAATTACTCGGCTGCAGGACTCTCATCTGAGAACGGCACAAAATCCAAGGCCACCTCGCACACTCGCAGCTGCGCTGTCTCGATGCGGGTCGTGGGTCCAAAGCAACGCAAATCCCAAAGCTACAAACGCTTGTAAGCTGCAGGGTCACGTCATATGGGCGACCGCGTACAGCTGATGGAAGCTTCCCCTCATCTTAACACGCTCTGGCGCTATTCTGGACACCGAGAGCCAGGGCTGTTTTAGAGCTTTCGACTTGTATGGCGGCTGTGCTTCAATGTGAGGAGAGGGTCAGGCGTATGTAGCCAAAATGTGGTCAGAGTGCGGGGTGGCCGCTCCAATGGGGGGGAACATTATTGCCCTAATATGCAGCCAGCCGCTCGGTTAGGGGGACCTGGATTTTCCGAGCAACTTCGCGGGAGATGTAGCGCCCCTTAATGTAAGTGCACGCGGCCAAGGAGGCGCCCCGGGCACGTGCCACGGGGCTCGCCCAGCGCGCACCTGTGTGGCGGTCAAGGGGCCGTTGTGAAGCGCTTGGGGAGGATGATCAGTCGATATGTGCCCGAAACCTGAAACAACAAAGGGCAAAAGCATGCTACAGATTTATTAGTAAGAAATACGGATGTGCTTTTAATTCTGGGGGTGCATTTCAATTAACAGACGAAATGCTGAATGCACCAAAGCAAGGGAGGCGCATGCCTATTTCGTTACGCTTAGCGTCAATTTGACGTTAAGCTCAGAACACCCCCCAGCATCAATGACGCATGACAAGTTGCTCTTTCTCTTTTGTAACAAACCTTATCGCCCACACCAACATACACACCCACACACCCCATCCCCATTCCCCACCCCAGGCATCAATCCTTATGTCGATGCAAGGATGACTCGGCAACATTATATGATAGTGATGTGCAGCTTTCAGGTTGTTTTGGAGACAAAAAGTAGTGAAAGTTGTACCAATTTCAGTGGGTTGAGAAATGGGATTCAAAATGGCACTATAGGCGAGGCGGGGAGCCTTAATTGTTGTAAATTAATCCATTTTAAGACCTTTTCTGAGCATCGAACATTTCCTAGAGGTTTAAGAACAAGTCATGAGTTGTTTCCAGCTGCTCCGTGACTCTTCTTGGTATCCTTCCTCCTTATATCGATTTTGTTGCAATCGCGTAATCTCTTAGTCTAACAGGTCTGGACCACCACAACCCTTAGCGTCAATTTGGCGCTAAGCGTAACAAGACCGACATAGAGTCTTTTAGCCAACAGAATGGCTTCGGTACGTAAGCCCTGTCATTTGGACGTCATTTAGGTTATTAAAGAGCGCTTTTATAACAACATAGAATTGAGTTGGAAAGGTGTTCCTCGCAAGCGTGCTTCGCCCGCTGCCGCCCGTGCTCCTCAAAACACTTGTTTTGAATACCGCCGACCGGCAACAAGCTTCGCTTGTGCCTGTCAGCAATCGCAAACAAGGCCGGGAACGTCATCCCCTTCCTTGTTGATCGCCTCGGCCAAGGTGCCCTGCGCTGCCTTGCGTTATGCCAACTTCGCTTCACAGGCGGCCATCTCCTCTGCCGCAGAGCAGGGTAGATGTTCTGATAACGCAGTGACTTCTCGGAGCGCGCAAATGTGAGGCGTCGGGGGTTGCTGCCACGTTACGCGGTTTCGACTTCGCCCTTCTTTGGTCACCTGCCCGATTGTGAGCTGTAATTTCTGCAGGTCTGCTCGTTTCCGTGAATGCTTCGAGTATGAATTCGAACGACGGAGGCCTGTCTATTGCCAGCTTCAGAAGAAAAACGCCAGTTGGGGGTCCAGCCTTAGAGATAACAGCACCGCAATTTCTGTGGACAGAAATTTGTTTGGAAAACATATCCACGTATTTGGAAATCATCACTGGAAAACGTCCACAGCAGATCATAGCCTGCTGCAATATGGCGGCTTGCAGCGTGTCGCCTGCCAGATTGGCTTGACCTTCAACTCAGGTGCCATCAGCCTGACGCGAATTCGATTATCCACAAACGCAGGCCCAAACCGTTGCTTGACACGGTAAGCGTTGCATCATGTTAATGTACCATAGTGTCAGCCTTCTCTTTAAACTTCTAAAAAGTTGGGCGCCATGCTGCATATCATTGATTGGTGACCCTTCCGGTCGCATTGCGCTGTTATTGATCGAATTTTACACAGTTTTGTAGATGACGATATTCTGATAGAACATTGCGCTTGCAAACGCATCTTGCATTGCTCGCAGATCATATTCCAATGCTTTGTGTATACCTAAGGCCTCCGTAAGGGGTGCTCCCAAGGGATCGACAGAAGATCCCAATAAAGATCCCCAAACATTCCAATCAATTTGCAAGTTCCTTCCCTGCGCCACAAAGCCCTCCATCAGCTTTTACACATCCGAAATTCTATGAGTACATGCCTTGGAAGACTCAAACCGTTCAAGCCCTGCAGCAGCTGAAGGGATGTGTCGAGATTCGTCAATCCTCTCTGTTAGCCAGCCCTCATTGCACGTTACCCCGCCACAGTGGCGCCAGTCGCACAGATCCACATAAACAGAAATTGAAACGATGTTCATGCCACCCATCGCTGTTTTGCGAGCCCATCTACTAGACACTGCCGCATAGTAGTCCAATCAAATGCCCCAACCCCCTCGGTTCTTGAAAGTCATTGAATTGAAGTCACTCATCTCCATTGGCAGCTTGGCCGTCTTGCAATACATTGATCGAGTCCAGCACTTCACTGCCCCGACTTCACCCAAGGTTGAAGGCAAGGTCTGTTGCGCAATGGCGTTGTGCCAAATTGTTGCAAGTGCAACAGATGCGGATCTCCAGACACCCGCCGTTATGGGCGGATGCATTCCAAAGACCCTGAGGTTAGACTAACCAATAATGAAGTTAATTATCCTGTTAATGGATTCTGGCAATGGTTACGACGTGTGGGCTGCGCCGGAGACTTGAATTGCGCAGCTTGAACCTGGGGCTTACTCAGCCCCCGTCCCCTTGAGATTCTGGCCACCCTAGTACCGTGGGTGAGTCAAAGTACGAAAATACGAGGTGCCGCCAACCTTGGCGCCCTTGGGTTGGCGGGCTTTGGCAGGGCTGAGCGGGTGTGGCTATTTGGGCTCCCCCCTCGGTCCCCCTCCTTATCTTGTTTCGCACCCTCTCGCCCTGGAAAGTGGTGTTCGGTTTAGTTGTGGGATGGAGAGGCAGTGAAGGGAGTGAATTCACTCCCTTCGGTACTTCGAAGTACGGGATTAGGGGCTGACTCATGGGGTGAGTCACTATGAGAGTGGTGATAAGAACTAGGGAAGCGAAGGGGCAAGCTTAAAGATGGGAACGTCGGGTACAATGCATTGGTTGTTGTTACGATTGTAAGTGTTTTGTCATGTTGGAGGACATGACCGGGTGGGCTCAGGAGACCGGTGAGGCAGAAATAAACAATTCAGCCACTCACAAGTGCTATAGATGACGCAAAATTATCACAAGTACTCTGCAAGAAGCCGCTCATATGCTCACGATCTGCGTTCCAAGCTCTAACACACCTTTGGCTGTGCCATTCTTGTAGTCATTCGGTAGACGACATTGTTGGACGTGCGGGCATCGCCAAAAATGCTGGTAGGCTCGGCACATATAATTCATTGCCATCCTTCACTCTCATGAACACTCGTACATTCGCACTACCTTTTCCTAGACCTTTAAAGGTGCAATATTTGTAGCCACCACTCTGTCTCACCACCACCACCACCCAAAAGCCGAAAGGAAACAAAAATGAAGGTGAAGAAGACTATGAATTCAGCCACACTAGCCATCCCACAGCCCACGCGAGCCACGCCGCCGCCATGAACCTCGGGAACGCGTGTCGGCCCTCGCTCAAAAAAAATGCAGGCGGCCTGAAGCCAAACAGGAAAGCGAGTTAGTGTTGAAAAAATGCAAAACCAATCGTGACCAATTGCTAGCACAGCATTTTGAATTGGGCAAAACTTGATGCCCCATTGTGCATGCACTGCCATTGAGACAATGCTGAGCAACTCTGCGGCAAATACTGATATGTCGACAGTGACAAACGCCGATGTGTTTGGGAGCGCTGAGTCAATGCTGATACACTGGCCTTGATGCTCCATTGTTCGGCGTTTCATCAATGAAACTGCACACTCAAAATTGACTTAATGTCTCATTTTCCAGCTGAGAAAGGCTGAATAGCGCACAACATGTTGCACAGCCATGTGCATTAGCTTGGAAATGCTGCTATGCTCTTCTCCTAATCAGTGGCTTCCAAGAAGGTTACTCAGGCAGCGAAAGAGCTCGTTGCAATTGCTTTCGCATCAACTGGCAACCACCAGATGCGTTGAAGGAACTATGGAATAAGATTCGCAATTTCTCTCAGTTTCCTCTCGTCCCAATCGCGCCCAATTGGCAATAATGGTGTAAACTAGTTCCAGTAAGCGTCTTCAACTGGTGGTAACTCAAGCAAAACTTAAACTTCTACGCTGGTGAGGTTGGCCGTAAGACCGCAGTGAGAAGTACGTTTTTGGGATCCGCTAAGAAGAACGAAACTGAGCTGCATCACTGTAGCATTGGCTTGGCTCCAAACTTCGCTATTGCGGATCTCCTGCCAGCTTTGCAGTCGCGTCTGCTGGAAACGGGTTCTTGATGGTGGAGCACTGAGACAGCGTGGTGCTCCATTACGATGAAACGCTGCACCATCCGCAAAGCTGCTTGGAACATTGTGCTCCTCGCATGACAGGTGCAGATAAATTCCAAGGGGACTTTTGATAAACGGCTTCCGGAAAGGAGGGCCACGAAAATTCCCGTTCTTGCAGGGTGGAAGGAAAGAAATGCACCATGCGCTGCACGCCCAAAGACATGTATGTGCGTATACGCACCTTGATGCGCCTTCCACATCTCTGTAGCACAATGAAACTTCAGTATATTCTCCATTTCCCAGACACCTGCAAGTACAACGCAGGTGAACGATAATTGAAGACACAATGCTGGTTAGCCATGGCTGCCATTGCCATCTACCGTTAGTCACAACATTATGACTCGCATTTGAGTTGCATATTAGGAGCACGTATTATTGAACAGGCAACCAGGACAAGCGATATTTGGAATCTCACTCATTCTTGTAGAAAAAAAACTGTTTTCCCCTGACGAAAGATCTGGGATCTCTTGGGCCGCATTGCAGGGTCTTTGTATTTAGGACTTGGCACTGCCTCATTGTCTTGTCTAATTGCAACACACTGGAGGACATCAGTGTTCGCAACTTTCTGCAAAATCATCTACCTTTCCAGTATAAGCGCGACCTTTTTGCCATGAAAAGCACATATGAACAGGTCAGGCATCGTTGGAGAAGTGATCATTCATTTGAGTGCCCTGTACTGGAGACATCCATTGCTGCATGGCCTTGGTTCTGGAATGAACTAGCGGCTTGGGACTTGCTCAAGTCTTGTGCATTTGTATTTGTGTGCCTGTCGCGCATCCCAAAACGTGACAACGCCTGCATTGCATGGCCCTATCGCGATCTGTACAAATACGCCATCAATCAAAACAGAACTCCAGCAAATAGGCCTTCTCCAAAACACTGAATAACATTTTGACTGCTCACATTTGGGCAGAGTGACAACTGGATACCGCGAGTCCATCGCCTGGGAATCGACAAGAAGGAGATCCCTTGGGATCAGATAAAGCAAGTTGCCCTCTCCCAGGAACAGCAAAATGCTTGTGAGATGGTGGTCACATTCGTCCATTCCATCATCGATGCACAGTAACACATCCATGGCCAGTCCGTGAACAAATAGACCAAACGAACAATCCCTCCATATGTCAGTCAGTTGGGAGAGAAACGAGATTGATATCATGCCATCCACAAGTATCGCAAAGTTTTTCTGTGCTATCTGCTGTACATAATACAGTGTCTGAACTCAAATCCATAAATAATGCGTCAATTCAATGTGTAATCCACATACATAGCAATAACAATTCAATCCCATACGGTTCAATGCGAAGGACAGCGTACCATACACCTTCGTCAGATGAAATGCTAATGTGCGCGCATGCCTATTCCTCTGGCACGCTGGCCACAGTTTTGCCGAAGCATCACTGTAGCCATGGCATGACACGGCTCTACATAGGTGTCTCTATGTACAGAGCTATGTCCAGGGTTGTGTGCATTCCTCCATAAGCACACACATTAACAAGAAACAGCCTCACAGTTTGCCACAACAATAACGCCCACCACAACTGAACAATTAAGATGTGTAAATGTTTGATTTAGTTGTGGTGTTGTGAGCATGGTGCTAAACGTTCAAGACACTGCCAGAGTTAGGCCGTCTCACTCGCGATTCAGGATGCAGCTGTAGGCTTTATCGTCCGCCTCCTCCGGGAAGCCAAAATTAAACCTGAAGCGGAGTTCTGGTTTGCCCTCAACACAGACGAACTGGATGGTCGTGTTGCCACCCTCTGGCTGCCCAAGGTAACAAACAGAAAGGGCGCCCTCAGCAATGGGTTGCTCAAACTCGGGCTGGAATTCCTGGGTCAATCCCTGGTCAGTGAGGAGAGAGTTGCACCTGAGGGCAGCATACAACTGTCAAGGACTCCTGAAAAATCCACGGCTCGCAGGCATTTCTTCTGTAAAAACTGCAGATTGGTCAAGGATTATAAATGGAAATATGCAATTGAGACATTGCAAAAAGAAATTTGCAATTATTTAGCAAACTGCATCCTCTGTCCCATATTAAATTGCAGTTATGAACAGTGGCCCTACAAAACCCACTAAAACATCACAATTTTCATCAAAATTTGCCACAGCATTGTAATTTGTGTCTAGTTTGTGCTCCCAAGTTTTTGAGTCCATCAGTAAAGTATTCAATCCACATTTTGAACATATCCACTCGAACAAGCGTTTCAAGGTGGCTCTGAGATGGCCCATTTTCGGGCCGTGGACCATGCCACCATGCCATGGCTCCCACCACGCAAAGTGATGGGATTTAGAGTTGTGCTTCAAACAGCAGGTTGGAGCGAAGATTAAAATGCGGAGGGTAGGCTGCCCGCTCGTCCCAAAAGGCGTGATCAAGAATCTCGCCAATCTCTTGCTCCATCGCCATTCCTTGAATTCTGCGCCAGTTGTGTGGCATGATCTCTTCTACTCTCATTGCAAACTACTCCTGCCATATCTTACGACGTCCACAATCCCCTTGTTGTCTGTATGACCAATTCATTCCAGCGGGATCGTCGATTACATTCTGGAGCTGGTTACCAATTGTCTCCATTGTTGGTGCAAGTCATGAATCTAAGGTCTTCGATCACACCTTTCGGGATGCACCGGTGGCCTACCCTCCGCCTCAGAAGTGGAGGATACAGAGTATATATCTCCACTCTGACCTGCTGTCTGAACCGCGTCTCCAACTCCTATTGCTTTGGGCGGTGGGGGCCACCACAAGGTGGCAAGGATCAAGGCCGAAAACAGGCGGTTTTGGCGCCACCATGAAAACGGGGTATTCTCGTAAAATTGGTGTCGTTAGAAATGCCAATATGGATTGAATAAGCCGATTGACTCAAAAAATTTGGCAACATGAATTAGACTCAAATTACAACATTTTGACAAGTTTTGGTGAGAATCTGAGATGTTTCAGTGGCTTTTTCAGGGTCACAGATTATAACTGCAATTTAAGGTGGGAGAGAGGAAATACACTCTATGTATCAATCGACTTGCAAAACAATAAGCAGCCTATATCATGTGCCACGCCCATTCAGGGGCATGTGCTCCTGGTTCCGTACTTTTGCAATCAGTGCTGTATTCGGCCAGTATTCAGCAACCAGTTCTTGTGTTGGAGATGACATGCGTTGTTACACTAAAGCTAGCAGCTTTAGCATAGCAACTCATGTCATCTCCAACACGCATGCCAGTAGCATCTTGTCATGCTAATTGGAGCATTTACGAGCATAAACATCTCTGGATCAGCGGTATTTTTGCCAATAATGTTCGCCATGGCGTTGATCCATGGCAGGATCCAGTGGGAAAAGGGGGAGTCGTACCCTGGGAAAGGCACGTCCAAACGTATGCCATTCGCAATGTGCTAGGGAAGCGTTTTGTCAGTGGTTGCCAACTGCTGCACAGTTTTCTGCAGAGATAGTGTTGGCATTCCTGCACTGTTGGTTTGTTGAAATGAATCCTAGTATGCTACACAAATAGCGTACTATTTGTTCATGAAATAGAAAATGGCATTCCAACAGCACAATTGTTCATGTTGTTGTCCACGTGATCTCAGCCCATGTGAATTTGCACACTGCTGTGTGATCTCTATGTCAACAAACACAGGCAAAATGCAAACCATTTATGATCAGAAAATAACGCAAGTGTTGGAACGAGTGTATTCATCATTTCCACCTGTGTTTCCAGTGTTCCAAATGGCTAAAATTCGCGTTTCAGCAACGTATCATTTTGCTGAATCGGAACCAACTTGCGGCCGTGAGCTGCGAGATGAGACCAAACCAAACCATGTTCCTGGAACCATTTTCCAGATTCGACGGTCGTAGAACCTGCGCACAACCCACTTGAAGCACCAACAACATTTCCATTCGCGGCCCCTTTCCAAACCGCTTCAAGTCGTCAACCCCACCCGAAGCCTTGACCATCAGCACGAAAATATAATCCTCAAGCTGGCATTCGAAATGATGCGGTAATGGTGCCCGATCCGTTACGACGCACCACGCAAACCTTGCGCGTCGCCGACGCGCCCAGCGATCGCCCCACGCCCTCGTCGCCCCCCAGCACAGGCGTCACCTGTCCTTCACCGCGGCGTCCGACAGGTCCAGGCCCACGGCCTGGGCGATGCACACGGTGGCCTCGTTGCCGAAGGCCTGCACCTCGCAGCCGCCGTTGGCCCTGGAGCAGTTGGCGAACCGGTGCAGCGGGCGGCCGGGCGCCGTGCCCAGGCACCCCCGCACGTGGTCGTACACCCTGCAGACCGCCGCCCGCCGCCCTTGGATGGTCACCGGGATGTCCTCAGGACAGTCGGATTCCAGCTGAAAGAGGATATCGGCCCCTTCTGGCACCCCCAGCTCTTTCAGCCGGTCTGGGAGCAGGCTTGAGGGCGTGGAGAGCGGCGTTCGGCCTCCCGGTGCGCCGTGGGAGGTGATGCCGAGATGATGGGCAGCCGCCGGGAGGGGGAAGCCAGAGGCGGACAGCACGAGTGCCAGGAAGAGGGAGAAGAAGGGCTGCGGCATGCCGGGCGCCGGGAACGGCGACCTCCGCGTCTGGCCGCCCGGCGCATCACGCGGTTTGGAACTTGCACACACATGGGCAGGGCTGAGGTACGGCAGGGAACGCGCACTGATGGGCAATCCTCGTCGGGTCAGGATCTCATTGCTCGCGGGAAGCTCCGTCGCAGGAACCGCGATCCGCATGCGTTTATCCATTCGAATTTGTGGCTGAAAGGCGCAATTCGGCCAATCAAGCGGGAACACATCATGTAGCGTGCTCCCATTTGCTTGGCCAAATCGTGCCTTCAGGCAATAATAATGCGACGGCGACCCGAGTCCATTTGAGGGCGCACAGATGCAGCCCACAAATTACATGGGGTCTTTGAGGCGTTGCTTGCTGCTGGGTCTAAAAATGTGCGTTTGTGCATTCAGTGCATGGAACGTGTCGTTGCTCGTGCATCGAACTGGGCTCACCAAATAAAGTGCGCATATTTGTAGTGGGGAAGCATCTCAGTCACGCTTTTCATTGACGTTTTCGTGACGAGACGCCTTCCTGCAGAACAAAATACAACTGCGTTCACCGGTCATCTACCACAAGAAAATGTGTTGACAGCAACTCCCTACAACGCCTGCGCTGACACGTCCACATATGTGATTTTCACCATTTTTATTAGGGAAGACACTATGTCGATTTTAGTACGCTTGGTGTCAAACAGTAAATGGACACTAAGAGATTATGTAATTGCCACAAAATCGACATAAAGAAAGGTGCCCCGAAAAGCCACTGATAGGCAGGAAACACCCCATGATTTCTTCCTAGACTTCCTACAAGTGTTCGATCGTCAAAGAAAAATGGCCTAGAATGGATCGATTTGCAGCCATTGAGGCTGCCCGTCTCACCTATAATGGCATTTAGAACTCTATTTTTCAACCACTGAAATCAGCGCAAATTTGACTGTATTTTGTCCTAAAACAACTTTAAAGTTGCGTATCACCATCCGGCAATGTTGCTGAGTCATCCTTGCATCAACATAAGGATTGATGCTAAGGAGGGGTAGGGTGGGGTCTGAGATCAACGTCAAATTGACGTTAAGCCTGCCAAAATCGACATAGTGTCTTACCTCAAATATTTGTTGCATTTTAGGGAATGCAGGCACAACCTTGCGTAAGTTATTCCAAATATTTTCTTTGGACAACCACAGGACGAATTGGCTCAGAACTGGCAAAAATTTTCAGCGAGCGCCAAACCATTCGATGCAATTCACCTACACCCCATTCTGATCTGGCTCCATGATTTCCCCGGCTTGTGATTATCGTTCAGCCTCATGTCGCACTGGACCTACGTATACTATGATGAATACCAAAACCATTTCTTGGCAACACTGCCGCTTTGAGCGGCAAGGGAGCATATCAGTTCCCTATCTCCCTGTCCCTTCTCGACCCCTTGCACTTCAGGCAGCTATTGAATAACGAGCAACAATGGCTGCAAAAGATGCGCGTTTTGACAATAGTCAGTATGCGAAATGGAGCGGAAGTTCCATTGGGGAACGAGAATGTCTTCTTACTCACACAGACGAACAATGCTCCAAAAGTTTTGAGCAAAGATCAGCAGGACTTGAGGGCGTTCAGCACAAAGAAAGCTTTCATGGGAACTTAGACAGGAGCTGATTCCACTGTCATTGAGTCAATGTGGCCATTCAAAGCAAACGCCAATGGGTGTCAAAGTCGTCTTTAGCAGAGAGAAATATGTTAGGCAAACAACACCCCTTTGCAAGCAAATCTGACTGGGACATTTTTCAACCCTGTGGAATTGTTTGCCAACAGGCCCAGGCACCCACAAGGCATTGGAAGCCTATGTTTGGCCTGATGTTGTTTATGCCAACCGAAACCTAGAGGGAACAAGCTGCACGCATCGGCCTCCCCTTCGCCTCAATGTGCTACCCCTTTTGTGGAGTCCACGTCATGGCCTTCCCCGCTCGCATGGCTTTCACCAACATGCCTCCATGCTGCTGGTTAGGCGACCTTTGAGGTCCCTGACCATGTCCTCCAGCACATCATCCGCTGGGGGGGCACGACGATCCGCTGGCTCGAGGCCGCGCTAGGCGTTCTGGTGGGAGCGGTGGATCACCTAGGGGCGTCTGCCGCTTTGTCGCATCCAGAACAACTATTTGGATATTACGATATGGTCCATTCTCAAGGCGTCTTACGCTCTTGATACATGATTTCAAACAATTCCACGGTATTCAAGAGTTGCTCAAAAGTTAGCTATTTTTTGATGGCGTTGCACAACATGATGCAAGCTCCATTGCCACCTTAACACTAGATATTTCAATTGTTGGTGAAAGGCACCAGAATGCACACAACTCGAATGATGTTCACCATAAATTTCGCACTTGCAAACGAGGGGTTTTGTGTTTTTCTGACAGTGGCACAACATGCACTGACAGGGGCAAATGCCCACAATATGTACGGCCACCAAATGTTGGGAGCTTGGCATTGATGCCTCTTGATTATGCACATACTAAACCTGTCAATACTATAAGAGCCAGCCTCCCCTGACGAGCAGTGCTTTGAGACATGAAAAAGGGCCCTACCGTGCTATATTCAACCCTTCCTCATAGTAATGTAACATAATGCATGGCTTTTTTTGCAGAGAAAACAAAAAAAATACTTCCTCTGTCCAAGATTAATTGTCCTCTATTTAAAAGATAAATTTCATTATAATAACGACTTCAAAATTACAAATAGAGTTCAAAATCGGAAGGATTGGGTCCCAAAACCCTTAACTACCAGTTTTCAAGAAAAACAAGTTAGCCCCGACCCCTCTAAGCAGCCCCCAAACTACCCCTCGCTTTGTCCAAAATATGTGCGTTCACATTCCAGGTCCACGGGAGATCCCCGTGGATCTTGCGCCGCTCCCGTCCCAGCGTGAGACACAGGGAAGTCGTTGCTCCCATCGTGGTGAAGCGTGGTATCAAACACGCGGAACAGGGCCTGCCACACGCGGTCAGGCGTGTTGGGATCGTGATCGTAGAAAGCTGTTGTCACGGCGTTGATCACGTCCTGCAGATTTCCACCGTCCTTGATCTTCGATGCACGGACTTGCAAGGAGTGGAAAAACCCCAAGTCCAGCACATTAAATTCTGGACTTTGTGCTGGCTGCCGCTCCAAGGTTATGTTGTAACCTTCCTTCAAACATTCCGCCTCGATCTCCGCTTGAATCGACGACTTCACGTGCGGCTTGGCCCCATCGATTTGGACAACAATATGCTTCTTTGAGTACTTGTAAGCATCTCTAATGGCAGGGAAAACGTTTTCCACCATCATATCCTTCCACACATAACTCCCTTCCGTTCAAAATGTCCCATTGCGCCATGCTATAAACCTATTAGGTAGCATATTTGCACAACGTCGATCCCACTATCGTGGAATATTGTTTCAATGTCATGTTAATAATTTCGCTGTATTTGGGCTGGTGCTGGCGGCACCCGCCACCATAAATATTATATTGATCTCAGCATTTTCGGTGCCTAAGCTTGCAGTTTCGCGGCAGAACCACAAGTGACGGTGTTGAAGGTGGCAGCGTGACTATACTTGCCACAGGGATCTGTGCAATATTACTACCAACCCCAAGCAAAACTACTTGCTCTAAAAGATACCCTAAATGCAGGCCTTTTTGAGACATAACACTTCCATCGCATCTGTGATTGTCTGCCTCTAAAGTTTCCTACAGGTGCGGTTATGTTACAACTCTTTGACATAAAATGGCTGAGGTATCAAACCTGGCGAACGAAGGCGGTAGTACATTGTAATGTTGGCAGTCAAGTCACTGGCGGCTCTGGCGGCCTACTGGCAGTTCCGCCATGGCGGAACCGTATCAACTGGCTAAACGTTGGTTACAGCCTGGTGCCCGCCACTGGATGTGAACTTGCCCCCGCGACTGCTCCCCAAAGCCTGGTGTCGGCCAAGCGACAACTTGTATGCAATGCATACACACAGGATGCTCACAATACTGTGATGCCATCACAAAGTGTGAAGATGAGATAAAACACACACAGGGTCTCGGCACAAGAATATTACAAGTATTGTACAACCCAAGAAGATTACGCCTGTGTTAATCCCCACCAGGATCTGTGGAATGAAGGCGGGGAAGCTCCCGCCTTAGACACTCCCGCCAACATGGCCATAAGTGGCCATCTCCTCCCACCCACTGCTCATTCACCACTGCCGTCCAAGGGATGACCTCCTTTTGGCCCGTAAGGAACCACGGGAGGTTTAGTTGGACTTCTTCACTGATGAATGTCGGGGTCACAGTTCTCCACAACGCCTTCACAAGCGTAGTACTGCACTTCAAAGTGGCGCACGTCGTATCCGTTTTCTTCACTGGGGTCGAATACCCTGGTGACTCTGGCGATGTCAAACACCCGGGCCCAGGCATCGGCGTCTTCGTCTGCCATCCGAATGGCGACAGTCACCCCGGGGGCAACGTCGTGCTCTGGTCGGAACGGTCTCACGTCGGCAGGTCTTGGGGCCCTGTGTGAGTGACCAAAGAACATTGCACGCTCCCCTGGGATGGGGCCCACGTCCCTGTACAATGGGCGGGTAGAACTAGTCAGTAACCGCATGCCACATTGGGAGTCAAACCACAACACTGATATCAAAGGTTGGACGTTACCAAAGGGGCAAATGGGAAGAAACATACAACATGCAGTACAGACCAAGACCACGCAATGGCAGCCCCCGGGCGGAGATGCCACGCAGGCAGTGTGCTGAAGGTCATTTATACAAAGGCAGGGTGTTTGTGCACGACAGATGAGATGACGGGCCCAAAGGTTTTTTTATGGATATGAAACAATGTGGCAGAGGTGGTATGTTGTGCACAAAAACCATCACACCTTTCCACTACGGGACCAAGCTCAGTGGTGGGCCCCTGGCTAGGCACGGGCAAAAGGTCGTCCTCGTCCCCGCGGCCACACTCTGCCACCCTGAGGGATCCTCCCACTCGGTCGTCGACGTCCCCTTCC